ATCCAAATCATCTTTGACTTAGGCCTTTCAAAAGTGTCACCTGTATGTACTTTCCTAAATTTTGTTATAATTTTCAATTCGTAATATTTACTTCTATTTATGGCTTATTTCCCCTTTTCAATGTAGATATGTTAAAAAAATTCCTAACTATCAATCAGCAAATTATGTATCCTTTTCCATTTCCTTTTACCCTTTACTTTGTCGATATATAAGTCACCTTTAATTCTGAACATGATTTTTTGTTTAAAGGCACTCCATAGATCAGTAACTCTTGATTTTTTTTAATTCACACAAAATGTTTTCTTTGTAAATAGTAAAAGCTGCCGCAGTGTAAATATAATCTACAATTACATTTTCTGTTCCAAGAACCAGTTGCTTAGAAGATATATCTTCTTGCCCAATACCTCTTAATATATATTTAACTTTCATCCAAAAAGGTTTGATAAATGTACAATTGAAAAGCATATGGTTTTTATCTTCAACATTTTCTTTACACTTATAACATTTGTCAGTATCTTTTACTTTACATATATGTAATCTTTTGTTAGTAGGCAAAATCCTGTGTAAGAGCTTGTAATTGAGCTGGGCTAATTTTTTGTCCTTCATTTTACATATTTTATATAACCAACATGATTTCCATTCAATATTTTCATCAATAAAACAATCTTCCCATTTTTTTGTATTGTTGGTGTTACAAAAACGTTGTCTACTAAACATGCATATACATTTTTAGTTTTAATATGTTCGAAATTTTTATTGTTATTTATGTTACATTCAGAGTTAAAAATGAAAAAATTCATTTATATACCATTGCCCAGTAGGTATTTTTGAAAGTTTGTCCATACTTCACAGCTAACATAAATGTGGTATATTTTAGGAGGAGAGATATGATTAAAACCTTGGACATTCAGTCCATGGAAAAGTTCATCTCAAAGCTACGGGTCACCAGCTCGGGATCACTTCCCAAATTCATACGATCGTTTGATATCTTTTTGCCAATACTACGGTAAGTTTGTTTTTTTTTTCTTTTTAATAAAATATTAACTGTATAATGTGTATGCTTCATAGTATATGATAACATGAATAATATTGACAATAATGTTTGATATTGAATTATTGAATACTTGATTTAAAAAAAAAGAAATATTAGAACAAGTGGTAGGCTATACTCTATACTCACACTCCTTTGGCCTTTGGTTCTTCCCTGCCTACAGCCACGAATCGCTTTCCTCGTATGAATCCCATTTGACTCTGCCCATCATAATCATCATTTTTATCATCCTTATTGTGTTCACGGTCATCATCAGCATCATCATCTGCGTCATCATAATCATCGTTAGAAGAAAACCTCTAAAATTTCGACGAAATTCTGTGATTAATCGACGTCTCATGCTCAGAATGCATGAAAGTGCACTTCCTAGAATCTAATAGACAAAGCGACTCGGACTTCCGTCTATTGGACATGCATAACTTTCTTTCGGGACCCTTTTCCTCCCCCATCGGAAAATCCTGCCACCACCAACAGAGAAATTGAAATGCTTACTTTGTAGTTTTCGGACAAAAATGCTTCATTTTCTTCATGTATTAATAATAAAACTATTGATGTAACTCTCTATTACAGTGGCGACAGACAAGCAATCAAAAGAATTGCTATTGAATTATGTGAAGATAAAGCGAATGAGGGCGTAGCATATTTTGAAGCCTCGTATTGTCCCCACTTACTGGCGGATAATGATGTTGGTGTTAGTGTAGAGGAAGTGGTCCGAAACGTTAATGAAGGCTTTAGTGAAGGTTACAAAAAATTTGGCGTAAAAGCCAATAGTATACTCTGTATGCTGATAACTAAGCCAGGTACTTTTTATTGTTAATTATACCATGGAGGAATATATACCTGCATAATCTCCATCGGTATTCATTGCTCCATCTTACCTTCAGGAACTTATAACTTTACATACTCCTTTACGTGCTGGCCTTCGTTCTTGATTCTTTTATACTATACACACCTAAGAGGCGGATCCAGTGGGGGGGGGGCATGTGGGCCTGGCCTGCCCCCCCCCCCGTCAGTCAAGCCGAAAAATAAAAAGAGGGTGACAAATTTGAGTTAAAGAGAGGAAAAAGAGTGCACCCATGAGTTCAGTGGCGATACAGCAGTGGGCGAAAGGAGAACTTGATTATTTACCACTTATTGGTGGGGCTGAGGTGGGCGTGGCGTCAGAAAATCTCTGGATCCGCCCTTGAACAAACTTAACATCTGTCCCTGACGGTTTTTATGTATTTTCATCTCTTCTCTGGAACCAACTTCCCACCGCCATCCGTTATGCTCCAACTCTTTCTGAATTCAAATTTCTTCTTAAAACTCACCTTTTTCCATAGTTCATACTTTTAAGCGTTGTAAGACTCTGGTAAAGAGCTCTATATAAATGCTTAAATATTATTATTATTATTATTATTATTATTATTATTATTATTATTATTATTATTATTATTATTATTATTATTATTATTATTACTCAAACCAGAGAATTGTTTCCATAATAATATGGAAGCACATGGACCGGAGAGATACTATCAAACACCAGGGAAGTGATTCCCTGCGAATACATACGGTGCTACTACAATTATTGCTGGGTATTGTTGTTTTATTGTAACTAGAAATCTTGTCATAAACCGCTACATTAAAGTAAAATGTAACATCATCAACCCCTTGATAATTTTTAGTCTGCCGATCTGCCGGTCTTAATGTATGTTTTCTCAATAATTATAAATCAATAGTGTGAAAATATGCCCAGGCTATATCTATTTTCAATACGATTACAGAATGGTGCGCGGACGTCGTGCGTCTCTGCGACACGTACAGACACCTTGGTGTGGTCGGAATTGGACTAGCTGGGAATGAAAATGAACCTTTAGGCAAAGAATACTTCGATAATATGAAGGTAGGAAAAATATATCAACCTTCAATAAGCCAGTCAGCTAGCTGCGGGCCGATGCCGAGTGGGGCAGACGGTGGGATAATACAAATTGTATTAAGAAAAATAATTCTTCTAGGCCTAGTACCGGTAAGATCAGGTATGAGAGTGCAATTTCCGGGAACCTAAGTCCATATTCTCAAAATGTTCTCACATCATCTCCGACCATGGTGGTGTTGAGGAGGTGTCGATTCTCACGCATCCACTACCGCCAAATCCTGTATCTGCCCCATGTTAGGCCTATTCATATACCGGTATTATTTTGAGACCAAACTGTTTTTAATAGGCCTACACAGTCGATGGTGCTTCGTTCGGAATAACTGGATTTTCAAACTCTTGCACATAACG